CAACATATTTTGCCAATGTGACAACAGAAAAAAATATGGTCCAAACTGCAAAAAAAAAAAAAAAATTAAAAAAGAAACTGTCTTGTATCCACTGAATGTTTTTTATTGCAATTCTAATTCTTAGGATTATTTAGTATTTACAAAAATTCTAACCACCTTATATTTTGAAAATCAACAAACTGAATACATAGGAGAAAGTCTTATATTCTTTAAAAAAAAAAAAAAAGATAAAAAAAGGAATCTTTTCTACACACCCAATAATTCATTTTATTGTACAAAGGTGTATGTAATATTAATTTTATTATATAGAATTTAATGTAATTTTGTTGTGTCTATATTTCTGAGATAAGATATAATAATTTGCATTATTTACATTATTTGAACTGTTGTCCTCATCTTTATTGTTATGCTCACAAGGTTTTGGCTGTTGTATGCTCCCTCTTCTTCAGGTGTCCTCGAGGACACATGGCCCAGTGGATAAAAGCATTGGTTGAATCCAGTAACTTGACCCAAAGAGTTATGAGTTTAATACCTGGCTACAGCAGTAGTGAACAAAAAACTTGGATAATTGAGTTAAAGGAGGATAACTGAGACATCCAGAAGAGGCATAGCATGTGGAATTAGAACAATGTTCCCCAGTGGATGTAATAAAGGGTTCAGTTTAAAATTCCAATCACCTGAAGAAGGCCAGAGCATACAATAGCAGAAAAATTGTGAACATGACAATAAAGATGAGGACAACAGCCTGAACAATGTAAATAATGTAATGTTGTTGATTTCAATCATTGGGAATGACTGTAAAACACTTTCCCCTCTCTTTTTATAGGTAGAATGCATGCTGGTATTTTTTTCTAGCCAATAAAATAGACTGATTCACGGTTTTATCTGACTCAGTTCCAGTCTGTCTTGTCTTGAAGTCAGAATGATACTCCTCTAGTTTGTGAACTTTAGCCATATTACAGTTGATTTGCCTTGCATATATTTTTTGCTAGCTTTACATTATTTTTTGCTCTGTTCCTTCCTTTTCTTTTTATTGCTTATTGCAAACTTTTGCCAATTCTGATTGTTGGACAATTCTGTTATTTATTTTGCATTTTGCTATAGATACTCATGCCACAAATTTGAATTTTATAGTATAGATTTTAATATCATACTAATTTTAATGTATAGACATTAAAGATAAATTAATTTTATTCTACATCATTTAAAAAATAGTAATAGATTTACTTATTTATTAATCTGACAGATCTTTATCACTTTAAACATTATATTTAGTGGGTAGCAATATTTCAGTTGATGCTCAGTTTACTTTTTAAACAGTATATTTACTTTCATCATCTAAGGCATGTTGGATTTAATGACAGTTACCCCTGTAATGGGGAACACAGGTTCAAATCCTGCCAGAGGACACATCTTTTTCTTTAATAAGATTTCTTGAATATTCAGGTTAGTAGGTGAAAATATTGTTTAAAAAAAATAGAGCATCTACACAAATATGTGTATCTCCTAAAAATAACGATTAATGTAATAAAATAGAATTTAATATAATATCAATTTTATTGAATAACCATCTCCACATTTTTTATTTTAATCAGTATTACCCCATGCAAGGCAGTAAAGCCTCTAAGACACAAGGGGTAACAGGGTGTGAAATAATTAGAAACAGAAACATAAATAATGAGCGGAAGAGGAAAGTGTAATCAGGAGGACAGTAGATAGTGATTGACATTGCATTTAAATTTTTGCAAATTAAAGTTGGCTGGAAAGCATGGAGTCAGAGAGGAGTTCCACAAGTGAAAAGTGCAAGAAAAGAAACTGTTAGAATTTACAGTTACATCTTGCCAGCTCAATTGTAAATTGATGAGATCTCAATGCCAGTCCAGTTCTGCGTTTAAATTCAAAAAGTCTAGATACCATAGTAAAGAGTTCACTTGAACAATTACCATGAAAGTACTTACAGAAAAGGCACAGAGAGGCAACCTTACGGCAGTAGGAAAGTGACTGAAGCTGAGCCACCAGATCAGGACCAATAATATTGCTTATTCTTTGGAGTTTATCGAGGAATTCAAGATAAGTCCAAGGGACACTGGACCATATGTGGCAGCAATATTCTAAGCATGGACAAATGGCAGACATAGATATGTTAGATAGATTCTGGAGAGAAAAATTGTCTTGCATGACAGAGTGAACCAATATTCTTAGCAGTTGACGTAGCAATGGGTTAAATATAATCTTTCCACTTCATGTCAGCTGAGAACATTAGCCCAAGAGGGCATGAGTCACTTTCTTGGAGGTTAGCATCAGCCATGCTGATGGAAAGCAGAGAGGGTCTCTCAGATGATTAATTTTAGATATTTATTCTTCTTTGTTCCAAATCTTATATTTAGTGTGTTTCAATATTTACTTTGAACCTACAGGCAAATTTCCATCTTCAGAAACATGAACCAAATTTTCAAGCCAAAAGAAAATAATGTACTCAAATACCTTTCATAAGTTTTCAATAATATAGCAATTCCTAACTTTAATTTTGTCCTATTTCATTTAATGAAAAGGGTGGTGCCTACAACTTTTATTTTCAGGGTTTATGGTCACATCAAATTGAAATACCAGTTCCCATACGATCAGCAAATTTAACTTTTAGCACTCTGAATTATTAATATTACTTCCCTTTCTACTGCATTCTTTTTCAAGGCCTATCAATTGCAGTATTCTTATTGTTAATTTTACTCAAACTTGTTTTCTGTTTCCATAGCAGGATATGACAACACAACTATGAAATTCAAACTCACTATTGTTCAGGGATTAGAGTCACCTTCAGTAGGAGGATAAACTCTTTGCACAGCAAATGAAGTCACATATGTCAAGCTTCATTAGTACCTAAATGGGTGACAGCTTGGGAATATCAGGTGCTGTAAGCTCAGATGTGCAGATGGTGTTATGGATAATGGCTCAGAATTGTTAATCAGAGAACCAAGTTCCAGTTCCTGCTAATTTTGTTATATTCACTTACATGTAAATACCCTTGAGAAAAATATGATTCCATGTCTTCACTCCCCAGCTATGGATTAATTAGTAAAAACTATCACTAAAAATCGTTATCATCTCAAAAATATAAAATAAAATTCTTACAATCTAAAAATATTTTCTGCCTTTAAATAACCTGTAATGGATTGATAAGCTATAGAAAATGAATCAATCAATTTTATTTTCAGGTACATGGTACATGAAAAGTTATGAGATAAAAAAAAATTCCAAGTCTTTTCATAATCTAGGTGATCACAGGTCTCCAGATTATCATCTGTGAATTTGCATATGTTCTAGGAAAAGATAGTAGTTTCCCACTGCTTTCCTTCCCTTAGACTGCTTACCACCTAAGGCTAGAGAGTCCAGTCAACCCTACTAGGAGAGATGGATTCATGCCATGCCTACGGGCATTAGTGTAAAATTGAATGCAAGAGACTAGAGCAGAATCTGAACTCAGCTCACTGATTCCTCTTTCTGTGCCATTAACCATTACACTACCCACACAAAAGAAATAAAATAGGTCAATGCTAATTTCTTTTTGCTATGATAAAATTATTTTAGGTTGAAGTTGAAAGCCTCATTAAAGTTAGGATAATTGAAACAAAAAGGGAGACAACAAGGAGAAAAATATTCTAATCGGATCAAGTGACAACGGTAATAATTCACAGCACAAGCCAAATTTCATAAAGAGAATTAATTCTAGTTTCAGAGTAAAAATATTAAAATCTTTTAAAAAACTTTTTTTTTTTGGTAAATTTCAAATGCATTGTTGCTATGTTTTCTAATACAACTGATTTTTTTTTTTTGTTTCGGTTTTTATCTTTTTTTAGCATTTTTTAGAATATAATTTTATTTACCCACACTGATCAGTTTTTAAGAAAAAACAAAACAATCTATTGTTTTTTATTACATATTATATTCACCAACCAATATGATGTTATCAATTGTATTAGACAACAAATAGCATTAAAAAAAAACCATTCATTCAAGGTAACATCACTTGTTTACACTTAGAAAGCATTCATTCACTGACCCTAACCATAAAATTAAAAAGAATTTGACCTGTGTATCTTATATGCCCATTTAGAAATATAAGGTCTGATGACATCTGGCTCAAGGTAAGTTATTGTTCCTTGTTTTGAACCTGGAATACAAATTTTAAAAGAAAAGCAATCTCTACACTTAAATATGATTTTGTGCACATCTATTTATTAATACCATATGGGTTACGTTAGTTTGATTAAAAAAAAAAAAAAAACCTAGACAAACCGAACTGAAAAAATTTTGCTTGTTCGTTGAAAATCAAATTAAGTTGAAATAGATCATAATTTTTTTTCGATGCTTTCAAACTCAAAGTGTTTTTCTTTTAATTAAATTAAAGGTTCAAATTTAAACAGGTAGCAAATTGCTAAAAATGAGACTTGTTTTCAGCTTTTTCGAAGAAATTTTTGTTATTTTTCAATCAATTTCAATTTTCTTTGAAACAAAATATTAAGAAAAGAGAAAAAGAATTTGGTAATTTAAAAAAAAAAAAAACTTTATAGCTATAAAAACTTAGATAATAATAGTTAATTTCGCAAAAAATTAATAGATCTTTTTCTTTTTTCAAAATGTTGTTACCTCTGACAACAATCATCATCGAAATTTAATTAATCTTAAAATAAAAAAAAGAAAGAAACTATATGATTTTTCTAAAGACTTCTGTTCTGTATGATGACACGATACTAAAAAAGGAAAAACTTATTTTCTTGCCATGATACTTTCCAAAATACGGTCCAGTGACCTTGTTTATAATTAATATTAAGTTTTTTTTTCTTATAAATTTAAAAACAAATAAATAATTACAGACGAAAGAAAAGCTAAAGTAAAATATATAGAAAAAAACACGCACACACATGGACTCCACTTCTTCATGGTCCCAAAAATGACGTTTGAACTTCTTTTTTTTTCAATGTGATCATTTATCATGTTCTTACCTTTGTTTTTCTGTGTTCGAGAAATTTCTTTCTCGATTTCTTGAATCTTTTCCAGGATCCCCATGTTTATTTGAAAGATTAATTCAATTCGAATTGTTTAGATTCCTGTCTTTTTGAGAAAAAAAAGACTTCCACGCATCGCACTCCTTTACGACAACTCACAATTGTTCGGCACCGTCAACAAAATTGCGACGACACCGGTTGAGGGGGTAACTCTGAAAATTGACATCAAGTTTCAATAATTGATTAAAAAAAACACACACACACAGCGGATAAAATAAACAATTACGTACAGATACTTTACATCGTTTTTATCATATACGAATATTTCATTTTAAAAACTCTTTAATTGATATTTAATAACAAAGAAAAGTTTAAAAAAACGTTTTTATTGAACTTTAAAAAATGTAACAAATTCTTTTTACAACAAAAAGCAAGCAAAAAAAAAGTATCTTTTCTAATATACATATCTGTACACGGAGATGAAGTTATGTAAGTCTGCAGACCTCCCCCCTGCACTCATCAAACAACTAGCATTGATAATCAGTGCATTAATTTGACTTGAGTATTGTAGAATTACTTCCCTTGTTATGCTGTTGTTAAACTAAACGCTTAGATAATTAATTCCTTATATACAGGCACGACACCAGTGATAAGTGGGTGCTGAATCAGATGCTAAAAGAGGGGGAGGAGGGCTAAGTCAGATGTTAAATTTTAAAGGTCCCAGATTCTATATTTTTTATCTGGTCCTCTCATAAAATTATTTGTTTTTAGATCTATTGTCCTACTTTTTCTTGTTTTGATTTGAAATAATTTTTTGATGTTCATTTATAATTTTCTGGAATGAGACCTATTGGCTTTTCCTGCATACTGTACTGTACTGATGCGGCATTCACCCTGGGCGGATTGAGCCGGCTTCTTCCTGTTATGAGAAGAAGATTCTTGGGATAAATTACAGAAGTAGGGTACCCAGGCCTACTCGGATAACGTTCTTGCTTGCCACGGGGTTCCCACAGACGCAGAGACAGGAACGACCAGAAGCCGCTGGTTACCGATGCAGACGCTCCTTGGATTTTCACCAGAGCCCTTGTTAGCCAGCGTGTGTGTCAGACCTGTCCGCCTTGGGTGGCCCTACCAGGAACGAAGTTCCGGGCGGCATAGCTCTGACACTACCATTTACACCCCCCCACCGACTGTGAGGTAAGGGTTGGACTTTGGGGGCTTACAGTACCAGGTGTTTCCAAGCGGTCCCCCATCTAAGTACTGACCTGGCTCTACGCTGCTTAACTTCGGTGATCGTACGAGAACCGGTGTTTCAGCGTGATTTGACCGTAAGCTTTTCCTGCATGTAAGACACTTATATAAAAATTTGAGAAGAAATATTAAAAAAAAAAAGACAAAGTTTTCTAATTTATTCTTAAAATTCATGGCAGTAATGACTTTAGGCAAAAAAATCACCCCAGCTTAACAGTGTTGTCATAGATTTTGGCAAAAAAACAAAAATAGCCTTCCATTTAGTTTTCGGTTTCAGAAAAAACCCTCTCTATAATGTGTGTGTGTGTGTGTGTGTGTGTGTGTGTGTGTGTGTGTGTGTGTGTGTGTGTGTGTGTGTGCAGATATGTGCAAAAATAGGAAAGAACACATTAGGTAAATAATCCGGAGTTTTTTAGTATTTTTGTTTTTATTTTTAAAAAACAGTGCTCCATACAGAAGTAGAGCTTAAATTATAATTATTTTTTAAAAAAATATGATTCCTATGCTACATAATGGTTCTCATGTTTCAAAAATGAGAGTCGAAACCCTCAATATAATTATTAAAATTAAACTGAATTAAAGTATCAAGCCGTGTTTCATCCTCAAGTGAAAATTTAGGAATCAAAATTCCTAAATTTCCACATATCTTCATTCAAACATGTTTCATTGAATAATATAGACATGTCTATTTATTTTTATAATAATCTTTCTAGTTCTCTAATCAGTTTCTTGATTTCAATTTAATCATATGCAATAATGCTTCTCTATCAACTAGTGTTTTGGAAAAGACCAACATTGTATATCAGTTTAAATGTCCCTTGGCAGATTGAATCTCTGACAAATGAGTAAGTACATATGGTTTGATGACCACAGCAATAGCAAGACGTCTTACACTTCATTTGTCGGATACAAGTTCTATTATGCAAAATTTAAAAACAGATTCCTGTCTACATTCACAATACAGGAAAATACTTGTTGACAACACCAATATGCTACACCACAAAAGTAATAAATAAAAAATTCAAATTCTTGAGGCTCTCTATATCAAAAGCAACCAACCAACACTCAACAAAAATTTATTACAAGTGTAGCAGCAACATGTTGAAGTGCATATAATGAACACTTAATGCTATTTTGCATTTCTACCATTTTCTGGTTACCATCCTTATATGGGGATGCTCATTTTGTAAAACTTTTCATACCTACAACAAACAAATTTACAATTTTAAAATAATTATAACAGAGCAAGTTAACTTGTGTTTTTAAGCATCATCATCATTACAACAATCACAGTTACAATAAGTTTGTCTTTGTAATTCACCCTTAAAGATGATCTTGAGAGAAACTGAAAGTAATTAGGTAGAAAAAAACTACAGCACCTTTCTTGATGAATTTCATCTCAACATCAAGAAAATGATTAGAGAACTAGAAAGGATTATTATAAAAATAAATAGACATATGTCTATATTATTCAATAAAACACACACTCACATACATATATATATATATATATATATATATATATATATACTAGCAGTAGAGCCCAGCGTTGCCCGGGGATGTAACAGTAGGAGATAGATCAAGTATCAACCATCATAAAAACTGAAAAATAAAATTGACAAAGATTATTGTTTAAGGTTGATGGACACGCATGTCTAAATTAGTTTTTTTTTGTTTTGTTTTTTTACGAATTGGTCAAACCCAAACTCAAACAAAAACATTGTTTTCAATCGTTATGAGTCTACCAATTGAATAGAATTTTTCAATTTTATTATAAACAATTGTCTTGTAAATGGAATTTTTAAAGCATTCTGAATGTAAAAATAAAGAAAAAAGTGTGCAAGACAATAAGAAACACTACCTGCCAAAAAAAAAAGTGAAGTTTTGTTGAAATCGGTTAAAAATGTAGGAAATCCAATCCCATATATAAACGAACACACACACACAAACAACCTGGGTTTTATAATAAGTATAACTCGATATGAATTGTCCCCCTTTCATTCCGCAAAAGCGATGCCTCTTAATCGTGTTTGCAAATTGATTTTGTGCAAAAACAATTGTGTTTTTTCAAATTTTGGGTGCTGTCAGAACAACCGCAAGGTAATTTTACGTAGTCCTGTGAAGTTTTGTTAAAATTGGTTGAAAAATGTAGGAAATCCAATCCAATATATAAACGAACAGACACACACACACACACACACACACAAAACCTGGGTTTTATAATAAGTATGATATATATTGTTACGAACTTGTAGCATATAGATGAACCACGGGTTAAAAAAAAAAGGAAAACGTGGGATCTTTTCTCAGTCTTCACTCAGAAATGGAAGCGACACAAGGGAATTAATGAAGAACAGACACAAGACGATGGATTTCAAAATAAAGCATTTATTTATAAATATATATAAACAGATAAAGAAAGAAAAAAGAACATTCATTTAACAAAGGGGAAGGGGATCATTAAAGAACAGAAAGGCAAGAGAAGAACATCTTTCAGCGAATACATATATATATAAAACAGATCAAACCAAGAGAATCAACTTATCTTTCAGTCGAGTTGATATTTTCACCCAAAGTTCTGATTCGCCAAAGCGAGAGTTCTGATGCTAAAACAACATTTTGGCCGGCTGGCCGGCAATTTTCCTGGATTTCTTTACTTTCACAATCGTTTGATGGTCCACAGCATCTCGTTGGGTTGATCCAGTTTCATAGCAGTCCTTTCATCTCTAGTCAACAGGCTTTGCTGACTTCTTCATCTCAGTGGGACAAGTTGCCCAGCGACGTTCAACTGCCGCTGGTTAGAGGAAAACTGAAAATCCTTTTCTAGATTTTTGCTGTCTCCAAAGACAGTCACATAGGTTCCCATTGTCCTTGACTGTGTACGCAGGAGGATGGCGCGCAAATCACGCAGTGTTTGTGTGATGACCAAAAGTTCAATACACACTTAGTATGTTCTGATCACGTGAATCGCAGCAGGAGACCCTGATGGTGCCTGGAATTCACTCATGGTCAGATGCCTGATAACTGCGAAATTTTGGAACCAGGTCATTCTCGTGTCGGGTCACTTCAAAGTTCACGGGACCTTGGCTTGTGGGTGGAAGAGTAGATAAAGAGGAAAAGAATTTGTGAAGAGAAGAGAAGGGTATGGCTGATCATAGAACATACAAGCAAGTCAAAAGCATTGGATTAAATTTCTATTTTTATTTATTTATTTATTTTCTTTTATATCTAACTAATTTTCGACTACAATTTAAGATTTTACTTTGGGGTGCTTTTAGCCTAATATATATATATATATATATATATATATATATATATATATATATATATATATATATATCATTCAATGAAACATATATATAGAGGAGGCACAGTGGAATAATGGATAGCAGCTTAGATTGAGGAATCGGAGAGCCAAGTTCGAATTTCAGTCGAATCCATTACATTCACTTACATGCTAATACCCTTGGGAAAGGTATGAATCCTCATCTTCTCCCTCCAGCTATGGGTAAAATAGCAGGACAGACTGGGTTCTATAGCCTTGGATGGCAACTGGTCTAGGAGAAGGACAACTCTGAATTCAAAACCCCTAGGAAAAATTATGGAAGTGTCATTTAGGAACCTTGTGGCACTTAGTGCACCAGGTCTCTGTATTCATCCCTTCAAAAAGTGAAGGCTATTTATAGGGTAAATGCATTGAAAAATTTCACACAACCAATAATACTTGTGTTTATGTCCCCTATTTATTTATTTATCTATCTATCTATACACACACGCATAATTTATATATATATATATATAATCACTTTT